CGATATAAATGTCTCGATTTCTTGAACGGGAAAAATTCAAAAAACGAATAATATTTCTCCTAAAATTTCGATTCTTTACACCCTAGTAGCAATAAATAAATCGTTTCGAACTAAAAAATATCGAAACGTTATCATACTTGTCAATAATTCACCGTGCCTGTATCTTTTGCATACATTGTTCTGTATATCGTTGCACTAAATCAAGTTTTATTAAAGCTAAAACCATAATTCTCTAAATATCTTCGCAAAGTGTATTTTAACACTCAAACTTCGTTGGTACAACGATATTTGATATTTATTAATTTATTACTTAATTCTTAAGTAAACTATTGTGATCATTTGTGACCATTAATAATTCCAAATTAATTCTAATCGTTAATCGAAAATTTAATACTTCATCTTTCATTATTTCATTCCTAACACTGAGAAAGGAAATTTATTCCCAATTTTAACCAATTCGGTGTAAATTAAATATAAACCCCAACAATTAAAATAATATTAAAAGTTCATTTAAGAATTTGAAAATTTAATCAACTATAACCAAAAATGTTTCAGGAAAAAGTTGATTGGTTTCGAGAGGGCATTAATTGATTTTTCATTATAAATGCGTAGAAATCGTTTGAAATTTGTTCCCTTCTTTCAAGTGAAATCGTATATCTTCCAATACACTAGTCGATTATTTCAATTAAAATGTCCCCTAAAGTATCTTTCGGTGTAAATAGTTCAATAATTTTTTATAAGGAATGAATCGATTAATATATTAAGAATATACATGACTTTGCTTAAAAAAGCAAACTTAATGCTGAAATCATGCTTTCTATTAAAAGATAATAATTTTTTATTCCCGTTTAACCAATTCGGTATAAACTCCAACAATTAAAATAATATTAAAAGTTCATTTAAGAATTTGAAAATTTAATCAACTATAACCAAAAATGTTTCAGAAAAAAGTTGATTGGTTTCAAGAGGGGCATTAATTGACATAACTATCATTTTTCATTATAAATGCATAGAAATCGTTTGAAATTTGTTTTCTCCTTTCAAGTGAAATCGTATATCCTCGAATACACTAGTCGATTACTTTAATTAATTATTTCAATTAAAATGTCCCCTAAAGTATCTTTCGGTGTAAACAGTTCAATAATTTTTTATAAGGAATGAATCGACTAATATATTAACAATATACATGACTTTGCTTAAAAAAGCAAACTTAATTCTGAAATCATGCTTTCTATTAAAAGATAATAATTTAATACAACTTTGGTGTGGAACATTTTTTGACTTAATTGATCGTTTCGAATATATTTCAGCTTCTAGTCTTCTAGGTGACTCGCCCAGTTTGCTATATTACGTTACGATGTAAATATAAAAGAAAGAAAAAAAAAAGACACGTTAGCGTGAATTAAGCGTTATATGTCGTACCGTTTATTTCTGCGAACACATGTAACGCAGAGTGCAGTGACGAGAGCGCCGACAAAGACGACACAACCAAGCACCACCACACCCACTTCCAGAGTAGAGAGCAAGTAACGTTGATTACCCCGGCGCGGAGAACTTCCGGCAATGTCCAGGACATCGTACTCGTCCAACTCACGCTTGATCTCCGTTTTCTTTGTGTGGAACACGCTGAAAGAACATGTTCGTGCGCGGCATATAATTAATTAACTAGGGAATCGTTGCCCGATAACTTCCACAGTAATTGCTCCCTTACGTGCGTTTAATTGTTTCAATTATTGCCCCGGTAAATTTACATTTTCCCCGTCGTTCATGTTTACATTCATATTTCTGCTTACTTTTCTTCGTTACTGCGCAATCATTTTTATATAACTATGATAGGAAAAATAATGCGCGTACAGGGTGAATTTAATAACTCTCGTTAGAGATAGAAAAATATCGCAGAAGAGAATTTTACGTTGCTTAAAAAGTTCTATCGTCGTGTCGATGATTTCATGAATGATGCAATTGCACTTGTTCTTTAAACTCTACGGGTTTTTTTTTTACCCTGAAATTGATTTTTATTCGCGTCACTTTAGATAAAAAAATATTAGAGCATAATGATAATTAATATTAAATTATATATTAATATATTAATATATATAATGCTTATTATTTAGTATCAGTAATTTTGTATTATTATAGGTAACAACAAAATAATATGATTTTATTCTTGTTATATACGATTTTGATTTCATTAATGATGAAATGATTTCTCTTAGTATTTATGGTGTTTACTTACTTGTGCAGTGTGTCCATGTCTATCATAACGTTTAAATGTGGATCGATTGCATAAAGGTAAACATCGGTTCTGTAAATAAAAAAAAAAATGTAGGATAAATGAAGTTTAACTGTGAAATTGAATAATGTTGCTTGAATCACTTACGACGCAGTATCGATCAGATTTCTTTCGATGTGTGGTTCTAGCTTTCTCACTCGAACGTCCAAACCCGTCACGTTATGTAGTATTCTAAATTAAATGACAGATAATCAGTAATGATATCATTGCTGGAATATACACTTTACATTAATGATTTTTACAAAACTGATCAATTTAATATTACCAGCCTAAATACTGCCAATACTATTTAATATTCATTTCTACTTCACAGAAATTACAATATGTATTATGTTTGGATTTCATTGATTATACATGTTAAAATTGAATTGAAAAGACTCACTTGAACGAACATATTTGTAGTAATTCAGAACTATTGGATTACTTAATCTGAAAAGTTCTTATATAATATTATATAATTTTAAAGAAAGGATAACAAGTCCCAAATATGAAACCTTCATTGTCTTCAAAGCAACAAATCTAACCCTTTTGAACCCTTGCATGGGTTTATTGCTTATTTTTAATTTAAAAAATAATTTCTGTTTTTACACAGAATTTCCAAAACAGAAGAAACTATTGAAACTGAAAATGTTAGGAATACCTGGTTAACCCATCGGTAGTTCGAAGGGCTGTTTCCCTCGTTTCCAACAAGAAACACGTTTAAATACTCACGCGGTGATGTTTTCCAATTGTGGCTCGATATCGATGGGTTTTCGGCCAACCACCATCACCACTTGTTTCTGGTCGTCCAGCACGTACACCTTAGCGGCAGAAACGGAACGTTTAGACAGGTGAGACCAAAGACAGGTGGATTGTAGAGGGGGGAAAAAAGTCGGATGGAACGTTCGTAAGAAAGGAAACAAGGTGACGATGAGAAGAAAGAGAAGATGGTGAGAGGGATGACTTACAAAGACGTTGGCGATACTGCTGCGGCCGGTCTCGGCGCCCCTTCTGTCGGTGGCCTTGACGTCGAAGCCGAAAACGCGTCCAGCGTCACGGCCAAAACTCGCCACGGATCGTACTTGACCGCTCAGTGGGTCAATGGCGAATCGCGGCGCGTCCTCTCGCCCGAGAATTTGATACCGGATCTCGGCGTTTGCTCCCTCGTCTGGGTCTTCCGCCTGGCCGAGTGATTAATTCGTTTATTCGACTTTTCCAACGGATATGTGTCCGTCATTCTCTTAGACGGTACGTGACAGATCACGAGAGCGAAAATGAGAGTGAAAGGGGGGGAGGGCGAGCACACTAAATTTTCTAATCTCGAAGGTATTCTGAGATATTCAGACTGCAGTGTCAGACCATGATCGAATCAGATTCTTTTGTTATGTATCCCTGCTCAGAAATCTTAAGACAATCGCTAGTAAAAATAAGTATAAATTGTAAGTTAAATAAGTACAATATTCACAACACGAGTTACACAATATAAAAGTAATAAATTGAACACAATATAAATCATTGTGTTTGCAATAAATGCAATACATGCGATATAATTAAATATAATAAACACAAAATATATACTTTACATAATAAAGATTATCTATTATATATTAATATATTATCATATACTATATATATATTATATTATTATACTATTATAATGTATATAATATATTATATCGTATTGTAAATGTAATTACAAATGTATATAACGTATTATATTGTATCATAAAATATGCATATTTATACAATTAAATAAACACGAAATATATACTTTACATAATAAAAACTCTATTATATATTAATATATTATCATATACTATATATATATAATTATATTATTATAATGTATATAATATATTATATCGTATTGTAAATTGCAAATGTATTGCAAATGTATATAACGTATTATAAAATATGCATATTTATATAATTAAATAAGCACAAAATATATACTTTACATAATAAAAACTCAATTATATATCATATACTATATATATATTATATTATTATAATGTATATAACATATTATACCGTAATGTAAACGTATTGTAAATGTATATAACGTATTATATTGTATTATAATATGCATACAGTATAGTCCACAATAAGTACTGAATATTAAAAATAAAAGTGTTCCAAGATTTCTGAGTACAAATTAATTTGTGGCTCCGCTTTAGGTATGTCGCTCCATAATACCGTTTCACCAATTCCACTGGCGAGTTACCTCCGCAATTTCGCTCTTGCGATGGCACATTATATTTGCAAATTAACTCTTTGCCTGATAAATGCGAATTATGTCGGACAGAAAGAAATAATGCACAACAGGGAAGATGACTTGTGTTAATGTTGCGCCGGCGCAACGCACTGTCAGATTTAAACTGACCGAATCTACTTGTTCGATTGGACCGATTTCATAAATCTGCAGATGAAGGTATCCGACGACTCGAGTGTTCAAAAAAAAAAAACATTGAAATCTTTGGGAACGGAATGGCATCGTATATGCTGTTTTCGCGTTGTTTAAACATGAGAAAATAAAATTAGCATATGTATTTGTATACCTTTTTGTAGAAGCTTTTCCACCAGACAGCGCTGATAGAAACGAAAATCACCATAGTAAAAGAAGAAAGAGGGAGAGAATGAAAAAGCGGTAGAGGAAAGGAAAACAGAAAACGTCAACAGCAAGGGGCAAGAAACCAGCGGCTTTGGCAACGTGCATGAAAGGCAAAGGGGAAACAACAGCGTGTTGACAGTGGAAGCGAAAGGAGTGAAAAGGTGGGCCAGTGCGCACACAACAGGGGGCAGAACAGGGCGCGTGTAAACGTACCTCCACTTTGACAACCTCATACCCGTAATGGGCAGCAGTGGGTATCGCGGCGAGGATGGGCCGACCCTTTGACTTGAATCTGGGCGCATTGTCGTTAACATCCTTCACTCTGACAACGACCCTGGCCTCGTTAGGCGCCAGACCATTCAGTCTTTCACCGACAACCGGGTAAATCATCACCGGCATCCCGCGACCAATCTTCACCCTGTCGACCCTGACCTTCGCCTCGTATCGATCGTTCACCTCTCTGTCCACGTCCGTCATCAGGTATAACGAGCCGTTCTTTGGGTCGATCGAGAAGTGTTCTCGCGCCTTCGTCTCATCCACGATGCTGTACCTGTTGGAAATTTTCACACTCCGACGTATATATATATATATATATATATGAAATAATACGTGATATAATACAAAGTAATCATTCAAACCCGTTTTAGTGATAGATAAGGATTCGTTTCGTAATACTGGAAAGTATCTATCTTTCTTTCAGCGATTGAAGCTGGCTGTCACCAATTTTGCCACTTCAATACGTATATTTTCATTTTCAAGTCAGTAGTGAATTTTCTATTGGCATAATTCTATCGAACGTTGAATTTCATCCATCTATTTACTAACAGATTGTTGTTATTCTGTGGGATTATTTAAAAACGATTGTACACGGAACGCTCGTTGATTGATGAAAAATCTGAGAAATGGGGGTAAGTTAGACAATCAATGGTAAAATCTCTTATGAAGATGAAACTCGCTATATAACTCGAAAACAATTTTTTTTTTTTCATCGTTCATTCATACATAAAAGATTACAATTGATATCTTTTCACTTGGAAAAATACCTGCATAATAAACTAATAAGCTTAAAGATATCTGCTCCGTATTTGACCAACGTACCTTATGTGGTCGCTCTGTTGATCGTCACTTAGGTCCAACTGTGCGATCAAAATCGGCACTGGAACGTTCTCCTCTACCTCTACCTCGTAATATCGGTGTCTAAACGAGGGTGTCTTCTGCACCTCGTTCTCCGCATCTTCCTCGTTGTCGTCCACGTTCAACACGGTGACAATCACGACCGCGGTGGATGTCAAACTAACCGGTGATCCTAGATCACTGGCAGTGACCAACAAACGATGATCCCTTCGAGTCTCGTAATCCAGACAACCGATCGTCGTGATCGCGCCTTCTTTACTGTCAATGGCGAAGTACTGCTTCTCAGGCTGTGCCTGCTGACTCAGATCGAAGAGAATCAATCCGTTGCCGTTTCCAGCAAAGTCCGAGTCGTTGGCATACACTTTGATCACTTGACTACCAACAGGCTTGTTCTCAAAGATCGAAGCGTGGTACACCGGCACCAGGTCTCCGTTCTCGTTCTTCTCCGTTTCGTGATAGTTGTAGAACGTGGGTGGATTGTCGTTGACGTCCAACACGTTCACCTCTACCTCTACGGTGGTGGTCAATCTTGGAGAACCGTTGTCGCTGGCCATCACCACGAGACGATGAGTAGCCAAACTCTCCCTATCCAGGACACCAGTGACTCGAACTATCCCCTCGTGAGGAGCAACGTCGAAGATCCTCGACACGTTGGCTGGATCTTCCAGGTTCTCGTTACCAGAGACAGCTTCGTAACTGACGTTCGCATTCGCTCCGAAGTCTGCGTCGATGGCTCGAACAGTGCCCAAGGTGTAGCCAGCGTAAGTGCCCTCCGGCACGTCGAAAGTGTACCACGACTTGTCAAAGATCGGCGCGTGATCGTTCACGTCTGCCACGTGGATCCTTAGCATGATACTGTCGGACAGACCGCCATGATCTCTCGCCAGCACGAACAGGCGAACGCTCCTCTCAGCTGCAAGTCCTCTGGCTACTGATATTTCAGCCGACCTTGGATCCAGATGAAAGTACCTTCGGCTGGCTCCGCTGTCGAATCGTCGCGACTTAACAACATCGTCACCGGATGTTGTCTCGTTCCCCAGGCTGTACGTTATCGCGGCGTTTGTTCCCTCGTCCTTGTCCTCCGCCAGCAGCCGTATTATCGGCGCGCCGATCGTCGCGTTTTCCGGCACCAGAAGAAGAGGCGAACGACGGCTGTTCGTTGGCTGACTTCCGGCGCCGGGATCGTTCATATCGAGCACGTCGTTCCCCTCGAACGATGCCACGATATCGGGCTCGTTCGACACGCGAACACCCTGGTCCGGCAGCACGATCATTCGGATAAAACTCGGCGGATTGTCGTTCACGTCGGTTACCATTATCTTCAGCTGCGCTTCCGATTTCAGGCCGCCTGCGAACAACAGACGAATGAAGAAAGAAGGATGAGACTGTTGTTGTCGCGATACGATCACGTTTATTATAATTATAAGATCGTATAACTTGCTTATAAAAGTTAATCTGAAATCTCAACTTGTTTAAATTTTATAAAATGAAGTTTATAGACTGTAGAATGGCACACAAAAATAATCTTCAATTGAATTTAAAAAAACGTTGCATTAAAGCAATTTCGTTCTTGACGATCTAAACTTTTTGATAATTTCCTATTATCAGAGCAGATTCAAAGTTAAGATCGATTGGAATAGATTTAAATTACAAACTTGTAACAAACGTTCTACAAGAATCAGTTTACAATTTACAAAACTATTAAAGTATTACGCATATGCATATTAATAATTGATACGTTACTTTTATTTTATCATCATTATTACTTACTTATTACTTGTTATTATGTATTATTTTATTACTATTAATTGGGAATATTTATTGTGAAATTTGCGTTATATATGTACTTTGATAATCAATTTTTAATTAATAGTTATTCTTTCAAGTGCATTATAAACGTATT